ATTAAAAAAAAATAAAATAAAATAAAGGGAGTCTAAAATAATCAAACGGGATTTTATATTCAGAGCGGTCTCTGAAAAACCAAAGTAGTAATTGAGATCTTCAAGCCTAAATTTAACCCTAGTCGTAATATTCAGCGCAGCGACGGCAAGAAACCTTATTTGGCCTTCTACTTCCATAAAGATTGAATATCGAGCGACGAAAGGAAAATAAAATTGTTTGTGCGATCCGACGACATAGACCTGGCGCTTCAATTCCACCTCGAATCTTTCGCGTTCGGCATTTAATTACGCCTCCGGCGAACGTTGCGAATATTTGTCTTTTCTCGCCGGCAAGCAGACGGTAAATTTCTGAATTTGATGGAATCGTAATGTCAATCGGGTTGACCTTTCGAGACGCGCGGCGAGAAGCGCGGCTCCGCGCGTCGAATATTCCGGCGCCGGTATTAATATAATAATTATGCGAAAATACCAAAGGCACCGAACATCGATCACGGCGGATCGTTAAGATTATTATTAACCCCGACACAGACATGGGGTTTTTTCCCCCCTGATAAAATAAGAATCCTCACTCTCTTATATTCGCGCCATCGCCAGAAATCCATTGGCATCGGATTATGCATTATTTATCGAATCTAAATATTTTCGATCTCCAAGACATTCGTTAGCGTCGACTGTACACGGAGACACGATCTTTATTCAATTGAATTTCATGAATATTTCTCGACCGAGTGGAAATCTATTGCAAATAACGCATTTTTATATTACGTTAGCGACAGATTTTCGCTTCGTCAGTTTTTATTTGTTTTATTGGACATTTGTATGAAAATTTATATAAACACAAAAGCGCCTGAAATAAATGTCTAGAATATACTCCCAAATCACGAGTGCCATTTCCTGAGCAGATATCTGATCGTGTTTTTTTTTTTTTTTCTATTCAAATCATGATTTTTCAACATCTTCAATTTGTCGCGGCTGATAGCGAATTATCTTGTCGACGAGCAAGAACAATGTCGTCGGATTCGCACGGGGTTACTTCCTAGAAAACGGGAGTACGTCGATGCGACTTGCGCGGCAACCTTTGACATTTCGAAAGGGCGGGTCGAAGTTTCCTTTCCACCCTCCGAGAGTAGGCACACCTCCCGGTGACCCGACATCCGGCCGAAATGTGTACGGCGCATAAAAGATCCACGTCGTAATTTGTAAATTAAAATTCGATCTGTCTCGTGAAAACTACACGTTCGTTAATTCGCTTCTCCTCTTTCTAACCCTTTACGCATGTGTCATGACGACACAAAGTGCACTGAATGTTTAAAGTACATGTTACGATCCCATATAGACGCTTGAAAACTGTATGAACATTCCTTTTGCCACTAGAATCCTTAAAAAGCAACTTCACTCTGACTCATCGTAATATAAAGAATATTTCTATCCACCGACATAAGATTTCAACTTTATCTTTACTTTTTCTTAGAGTCGAAAATATATAATGTATAATAATGAATATGAAGCGACATTCTTCATGTTCATTCTTCATGTAAAACTTTCCTTTACTAAAATTAATAATGCTACGTTTCTCGCAGTCTTTTAAATTTTATCGTTAAATATTTTGATAAGTGCAGTTTAAATGAAGATTCTGTTGACATAGTGTCCACCTCAAATTACCTATATTATATGATTTTAATATCTATTTACATTTTTGAAACTTCATATATTATTATACTTTTTAATCATCGCTAAAATATTATTTGTGTTTCATTTTTATAAATAAAAAAAGCATTTTACGGAATAACGCCACGTGTAAATCAAGTTCACATAGTATCAAGTATTATACACATAAAAAAAGGAAGATCTGAGTATACGTATCATAAATATGGTAATTTAAGGATTATTTGCTAAATCACAAATCATTACACTCAACAGTCAACGAAATTAAGACCCCGTAAAAATCAAGGACCTGCGAGACAAAGGATACAAAGAGCCGGAAAGTTTTGCGAGAACAAAGCGTCGCTGTAAAGATAAAAAATGAAAATTTTGCATGCAAATCCAAGAAATCATAACACCGAGTAAAAATCTGAGAATTACAAAGTCAAATCTCTTCAAAAGTCAAAGATTTATGAGTTTGAAGAGTTTGAAGAAGAAAATGTATTTTGAGAAAGACTTTCTTGTGGAGTAAAAAATCTATAGAAAACAAACAACTGAGAAAACAAGACAACAAATACGTCAGAATTTCGAATGATCTATGGAAGTAACTGAATGAATGATTTTTCGTGCTCATTCACTCCTCAACCTTATATATCCACACGACATCTCCGTACATTTATCTTCGTCAAGCTGTACATTAACAACTTCTCATTTCAGTGACAGACAAACATCGTCGGGAGGCAAACCCCGAGCCACGTCAAACTGGCGTCGATCTCTAATTATCGCAGACCGTAATTAGTAGCGAGCACATGTGGTTCGTATCATAGTTCATCATCCACCTGCGCGAAACCTAATTGTGTCACTCGGGGCACGCGAGAATCCCAGAGGTCGCATTGTACGTGCCACATCTCCACATTAATCGTGCATATAGCAACAAGCTTGCATAAAACGTAATTAAACAATCAGCATAATTGAATTTATCGACCTAGCGTTTTTTCATTTTTCAGCATTCGGCCAGCTTTCTCTGCGACTCAGACAGACGTTTTAAATCGAAGATATTACGAACATCTTTAAATGAACTGATCACAGTTTCTTATTTATATTCGTCTTAATAAAAAATCAAAATTGTTTTAATATGTGAATCATAAAAATATATCGTAAGCTAATTAAGAAAATAAGCACGATTGACGATGCGAAATTAATTCAGAAAGCTATGCAAATTTCGATGAACGTTTTCGATTCATTTTTAAATTTTTCACGATTTCTAATTCAAGATTTTATGGCAATGTTAAAATTTACATCAATTTCTAAAAAATTAATTTTGCATCGTCAATTGCGCAGCTCTTATTATCCTGTAACATACTTTAAAAAATAGAATATGTAATATAAACAGAGATTGCATCATAAGAAAATGATTAAAACATCAATAGATATAGAGAGAAAATAAATCCTATTATTCTCCTCCTCGCAAAGTTACAAAAATCTCATACATTTTTGCTGCGAAAGTTTTATCTGACCGAAAATTGAAGCGAGCCTACACAGACTTAATCGATTTTCCAGGTATCTTGACGTCATTCATGACGTCTCTTAGAGAGAGAAAGAGGAATGAAATTTGTTCTCGTTCAACTGATGTGACGTCAATGTTATGATGTTATTCTTCGCTTTTGTCAACGTCAGATAACAAGAGATGAAAGAGAGGGGAGAACAATAATGAGACACAAGTGGTGTTATTTATTTAGATCCCTACGCGCGACATTAAAGTGAAATGTTAAACGCAAATGTCAAAAAGCTCTCGAAAGCAAAAAGTGAGAAATGCGAATGTGTGATTGAGAAATATTTATTTTCAAAATAATAACAGAAACCAGATTAAACGCCCGATAAAAATAGTAGCTTGCCTGTATATTATCTAAATAAATTGTTTTAATTCACTCTGAAATATAAAATTAAAACTGCAATTAATATCAAAAAATCTACGAATTCAAAATTTCTATTAACAAAATTAATAGCAACAATCAATTGACATTGTGACAAAAAAAATTTTCTTTACGACAAATCTAATGATAATTTTTATTGATAAAATTAAAATTATTATGCGAGATTATTTATGTAAAACAATTTATTTAAATAAAAAATAAATATAAAATTGTTTGATTAAAAATGCATTATTAAGAATATTTGAAAGACAATTCATATGATTATTTGCATAAAATAATGCGTAATTATTTATCATAAGACAAAATATTTTTTATTCTTTTCTAATTTTTCAAGGATATTTTCAAGAATATTTTTATAACAAATAAAAATTAAAATAAATGTTATATGCTTGTAGAACTGTCAGAAAGGAGAATAAAGTCTATGGATATAAAAAACGTAATAATTCGGTCTCCCGACATTACAACCAGTATGGAATATGATAATCTGTGGAATGTGTAAATCGCAGGTAGCTTCAAAGATATGCAAATAGAAAGGTCAATGGATCCTAGAATTCATGAAGCCAAATATCTGTGAGTCCATGAATATACGGTATCGACAATCCATGGAGCCTACTCATTTGAAATATACGAAGGAGCTGATGAACCGTGACCTATCTAGAACTATAAGTATGACAATACTTAATTTTAGATAAATATGCGTTCGTTTTGTGAATCGTGAATGGAACCAAAAATTCACTTGTCTAAAATTCTATTTTATATATTATATTGAGTAATCTTTTAATTACTATATTGAGTAAAAAAAGATAAATTTTTATCAGATTTACGAGTCATTGAAAGAGAGAAGAAAAAGAGTTTAAATCTACAAGTCATTCACAAAACATAATGTTTATAGTGTTTGTACTAAATTATATTAAAAATTTCAAATACCACACAGAATCTTCCCCCGAACAAAGTATTTTTCACAGTATAATTATTTTACTACATTTCTCTCTCTAATTTAAGAATAATGTAATACAAAAACCCATATTTTTATATTAAATATTGTGATTATTGATATGAAAAAAATATATAATAAATAATAATTGTAAGATTATTAAAAGTTCTGCCATTTGATGGCACATTTCCGAAGAGAAAAACGACTCACATCATCAAAAATTCTCTCTAAATTTTCTCCCTCTCTTCCTTTTTCTTTTCAACGCTCTCACAAGATAACCTCTACCCCCCTCACTTCATCCCTCGCCCAACCCTGTCCTATACTACTGTCCATCATCATCGATCAGCGGGACTCAGGCTACCAAATTGCTCGACGATTACGCGCGCTGTTTTGCAATTCGCTAACAATTTCCTGTCTCTCGTCAGATACGCAGCCGATTTGTCGTGCGATGATACGCATTCGTCAAAACATACAAATCGATTGTCACTTACCGATTTTCCAGTGGACTCTCCGATCGAACGTGCTCCGGCGTGCACAGGACACTCGGGAGGTTCACACACGAACGATCACACGCGACAGTCGTCCGGCCGCAAGGTGTTCCCCGGCATTTTCACGACTCCTCGGATGCGACCAAGGCGAGACCCTGTGCTGGAACGTCATCTCGGTTGATAAGGCAGCTCCTTCGACGCCTGCGCCGTTCTGATTAGAATCATCGTGACGTCTCTAACGCGCGACGAAATGAACGAAGTTTTGCTTTCTGCATTTTCACAGAAAAAGATGATGAAGAAAGATCTCTGAAACACACGAAATTATTAACTGTGACATTTTTTATTTCTAAATCTTTCAATTACATTGCAATTTTGTTTTTATCCAATTTTATATCCTTAAATTTATTAATATTTATATTCCTTGACTTTAGTATTCTCGAATTTTATTCTCAAATAATAATTTTTAATTCTTCAAAAATTGTATTTCTTTTATATGTACAATTTTATGTGTTTTGTTTGCTAGTAAATATGAGTTTTTAATAAAAAATTAATTGCTATTATCCTTTTTTACTATTTATAACATTTAACTATAAATATTTTTTAAATTAACCTTTAAATTGAAATTTTGTAACAAAAATTGACATAAAAAAATAACAATTCTATTATTTTTATAAATGTGCTCTATTCATATTCTGTATTGCTAAGCTATATTCATATAAAAATCTCTATATTTTCAAGTCATTAAATTAAAAGAAATTTAATTTATTATTCCATATTGAATCGTTGCTTTTCCTTAAATACTAAACAGCTCTGAAAATTTTTTCGCATCAGTTTTCAGCAGATCCTGCCAGCCACTATAAAATGTGACTGTATTATACATGTTTGCAGTTTAACTTGTTTTATTAATTGCAGACACCAATATCAATTGTATATATCATTATCAATAATATAATTAATATTATTACTTAGTTGTAAATTATAATTTTACACTTAATTCTCTTATTTAATATTTACAACGCTATATTTTCCTAACGCTGATGTTTGTGGACAACTTTGACGATCGAACGGAAACGACCAATGATGATTCACTGCGTACGCACTTCGCGAGTCAGCTGTTTCATGCAAAACCCACCATGACGAATGTTCTGTTCAGTTCACAAACAGAAGAATATGTAACAGGACAAAATATACGAGATGTCATAAGATACTTTTCATCGAAGCAATTCTACTTCAAGAAAATCTACACAAAAATTCATTTCGTGTTTATTTTAGCTGTAAAACCATCATGTAATGTTACACTGAATTTTCTCTTTTTTCACATTCATCCCCAACCCTATAGATTCATCCTGTTCTTTTACATCTTCTTTTACATTTTTCCTGTACACGTAAAGAGAGCAATAATAACACGATGCAAATAAAATCTGTAATTTTTAAAAGCTTCCATAAAGACTAGAATAAAAAATTGACAAAAAAAAAGAGGGTGACTTCACGTCTTCAAATCATTTTTCCCTCATATATTGTTTCACTATAATCGTAATTCCGCTGCTAACAACAAGTTTGTATGTACAGATCAAATATAAGGCAGAAAAAATGCGCATTTAGATTGAGGGATGAAGGACGAAGGGTGCACTTGAACGCTGAACATCCCTGCGATTTCATTATACTAGTTACATCACTGGTCGTTCGGTCGTCACACGTCGTCATAGTGAAAATCCGCCAGTTACGTTGGAGTCATAGGGGAGTGTACGTCACGTTCCCGGTGTCGCCGGTACGAGCGGGTCTTTATTCACGGAAGTCAAAGGCAGCGGGTTTCTGACGGAAAACAGGCGTCTCGGGCAAACACTTGGTGTGAAACTAGACCGGCTTACCCGGCGCGAAACCGGTGCACGGAGCGAAGCCGAGAACGCGGCGCAGCGCGTGGAGGCGGAGCGCGCTCCTCATCGATCCTCGCCGACGCAGGTAAATCCCGGGGTGTCCTTATTCCTCGCGGTAGAGCGAATCGTGAAATTTCGATACGTATCGGAATGCGGAGAACCGGCGAGATTCGAGAGAGTGCAGAAAATTCGAAACGAGAGAAATAAGGGTGAGGGGTGAGGGATGGGAAGGGGAGAGATGTAGGTCTTATTGAGAGGTTTGAGTTAGCTTCTGCAATATTACGAAAGAGTATATAACGTTCATAAATCTCCTTGCGTCCTTCCTTTTTTAACAAAGTAGATTACGATATTTTGATATGAGAGGCTAGATTGCAATATTTCGATACGAGAGACTAGAAAACCGGCGAAAATCGGAAAAATATGTGAAATCCGGGAAAGAGTTCGAGAATATAGGTCTCCGTGACCTTTAAATCCATCTTTGCGGAAGGGAAAATTTGCTGAATTCTCGTCTGTGAAAAGTCTTTCGTTGGTATGAAAAGACTCATCTAGCGAGTTCGGAAGTGACGCAAATAAAGTCTGACATTTATATTTCATATATGAATGACTTCCAACATTTTGATATTATCATTGAGAATCGATAACGTCAATATAAATTTAATAAAGGAAAATTTACATTTTTTCAATATAATTCATATACATAATATTATCACAAAATTTACGCCAGTATAAGGAAATTTTGCAATAGTTTCCAACATCTGAAGTCTCAGTTGGAACAGAAGAAAGAACTTCCCTTGATGTATGCAAATGCATACAAATTGCCAGAATCGCGGATCACAGGAATTTCTTCGGTTTGCAAATTCTTTCCTCACGATCCATTTATGTGTGACATAGCTGCAGAGTGAACGTTAAAGTAATGTAATCCTTCTCTTTGCACCATTTGCCTCCATTAAAAAAATTTAAAATTAGTTCGAAACTTTTAATTACCATACTCTGAAAAAAATATACATCACAAGATAATGTATTCAAAATATTGTTGAATAAACATACACACAAGCACAACGCGCATTCCACTTCGTGCGATATATTCTCAATAACGCAAACAGAATTTCGTTCTACGCGAAGCAAAAATTGATACTGACATAATTTCAAAATGTTCAATTTCCGATGCGGCGTGCATGCCAGAAAAGCGCTTACGCCATCCCATTTTTCTTTCATGAACATGTAAGAATTGCGTTTCGCGTTGGCAACTTATGTTAGCGAAATAATACTGGTTTCGATCTCCCCTGCGGAGAAGCAAAACTGAACCGGGTCCAAATTCTAGTAACACTGATAACTTACGAGGAGGAGAGAGAGAGACTATCAAACTCCCGGCAGATCGCTCCCGCTGTCTCGCACTTCGCATGCAACTAGATAAGAATTAACTTAAATTTGTCATATTTTTTGCCCTGCACATGCGTAGTATAAATCTGCGAATTGTTAATCGCGACCGGCTGAGCTTTTTCTCCTGATCAGGCGCGAGCCAGTTCATCGGCCGACATGCTCGCGTATCGATCTGCGCTTTTATCCCGCGATATCGCTCGCTCTCCTTTAAGCCTTACCGACCTCGCGGGTTGCACGAACCGGCCGCATGGCTAACCGCATAAAAATTTTATTAATAGTAGTGTACAATCTAATAAGATTATGTCATTTCCTAGTGTCTCGCAATGCCTAGGTACATTCTATAAAAAAGTGAAGGATACGAAACATATGAAGTAATCGAACTCGACTTTAAAGTAAGAATAATTGCGCTTTCAATGTTTTTTTATAGCATTTATGAACTATCGATATGTTCTTGTATTATACGCACAGATAGTGAGGCAGCAATAGCACAAACAGAGTATAATTATTAATTCATTGTGGAAAAATAAACCGGCAACAATCTGTTTTTCGTACGATGCTCCGATTTTGAGAGAAACTCGAGTGTGAAAATTGAAAACTTAATTACATAATTAAATCTAAGTAAACGTAAACATGTTATTTGAGTAATGTGAATGATCTCTAGTGACCCGGGGTCATATGTCATCGAAATCTCTCTCGATAATGAGATTAAAATATGTATAAAAAGATATAATACTCTATTGAAGAAATGAAAATAAATCTTGATATGATGAATGCAAAAGTACATATATTCTTTTTAGTCATTTAAAATGCTCTAACTTATTTTATTAAATGCAATGCTGTACTTTTTTATTTATATGTTGAGAATTAATTTGAGCAAATTTAACATATAATAAAAGCCATTGAAAAATATATATATTTTTTTCAAATTGACTTTTTAAAATAAAATGTCGTACAAAAAAAATTATTCTACATTTTTGACTCAATGATATTATCGTTATTGCCGCACTTTACATATTAAAAATTAATTTTTATGTAATTAAAAATCAAATTATGTTATTAAATTAATTAGTAATATTTAACTTATATCACGATTTTATAAACTATCTCTCTAAATATTCACACACACATTACTTTTCTCTTTGAGATAATAAATAAAAATATTCGACGATACTTTGCAGCCATATTTTTTAAGTTTGCAAAACGACATTTGAATATGTTCCACTTCAGCGCAGTATTATCAGAAATGGCGTTCAGCTCACGCTCCACCGCGTCCCCTTTTGCCTCCTTAACAACTTCGACCGTATACGATTGCTAATTAATGCAGCACATTAACAGAATTCTTGAGGCGCATTTTACATTCGTGCACTTCAACGTAATTACGCGAAAAATACGTAATTATCGAAGAATGTAGGTAGCCAATGAAACGAAGAAGAGAAATAACTCACGAACACCGACGATTTATCAGCCACTGTATCGAAAGAGCGCAGAGCAATTCACAAATCTCTGATAAAGAAATATTTGAGAAAAAAAAAGTAAAACTTTATCTCTCGCCTCGGTCATTTGACACTATCTATTCGTTTCCGATGTCCAGTATTGAAAATATAATTGCTTATCGCTATTATTATGCTTATACTCTTTAACCGTGATGAATTTACTTCGCGGAACAAATCACTTTCGATAAGCGGCATAATAGACCTGCGGGAGCTGTTATCAAAATGCGAGGGGCTTTATCTTGAGCGAATTCCGAGTCGGCCAACGCCGAGCGAATCGCATCCTCGCTATGTTTCTGTTCTAGATAACGGAAATACGAAGATGCGAAGCCGGCCGTGATAACGCAAATCGCGTCGCGATCTTTGCAGGCGTCGCCGTTCGCGCGATAACACCGGAATCTTTCCAGTCTGCCGATTGCCAGCCAATTAATCAGAAACGGTTGCAATCACTCTCGGCGACCTTGGCACGATAATGACTCCTTGTACTGGCTTCATGCTTTGCAAGATAACGAGACTATTTGAATTACGATCAATCGATGCGCGGAAGTTAATCGCCTTCTCCCCTCACTCTTCTCATCGGACGGAATGCGTGCGCTTTCTTTTCTCACATATTCTTATAATACGATATTATTAATTTTTATAAATTTTCCGTTTTATAAATTTCATCTCTTTTAACAAATTCAAAAATGTCTAATAAATTATTTAAATATATGCGACAATACATTCAATGCTCTAAAATTATTTTTAAGAAGAGATAATCAAATATTCTGTTACGCCAATAAAAAAGACCTCCCGCGAAGCACCGAATTGCGTAAAATCTATTGCGATATACATTATTTGGATTACACGACAAAGTGACTCGCAACTTTTGTGTTCTTAGGACGCATGATATATTGACGTCAAACGTTCATACGAGGCTCCCTACAGAACAGTGAGTGATCCGGAGAGATCCGGTTCTTCCATTATCCAGAAACATAACTCCGAACGTCGCAGGGGGCCTATTCAAGAAATGCAAAGTCAAGGAAACTTTAATTCTCCTTCGCTTTTCTCATATCCGATATACAGCAGTTACAATTTACTTAAACACAGTATTAAATACTGAAACTTAATCAACAGTGGACAGTGCGACAATTTGTAGATCAAAATTATAAGAGTTCGAGCATAATATAATTATTTTTCTGTAAATAATGCGCTGATAATTCTTATAATTTTTTTTCCATAAATTGTCGTATTATCTTCTGATTGCAGTATTTTCTCGTACGCTCGCCGCCATTAATTTAATACTGTATTCAAGCAAATTAATTGCTTGAGATTCAAAATGTGTGAGAACAAAATTACTAAATTGACACAGAAAGTTAAGAAATAAAATAAAAGAAGTGTGACTTGATGGACCACTACTGGATTTTAAAATTTCCCTTAATGACAGCATCGGAATGAAACATTTTCATTCAAACATTGATTGCAATCTCGAACACTTGAACAATCGATGTAAATCAGACACGCATTTGTTTGATCTTGTCAACCGAAAACAAATTCAAAAGTACGTACGTTTATGAACTTGTCATTCTATTTCTCGATCATCTTTTCTGTCATCCTTGCCTCATGCAAAACGATCTACTAGTACGACTAGCGGTGACGCGCAGCACACTTCGATTTGTGCGAGAAAAATCAACAGCGGCACTTTTTTGAAACGCTTCACTTGCTTTTTCCACACAGTTCTCTCTCCGTTGCGCGCAGTAACCTAAATATAGAATAGCCGCACGGAATTGTTATCTAACGACGATACGAATGACGGGCGCTTACGCATTTACGCAATCTTGCATGCCGTCCGATAATTTTTTTTATTTTTCTTTTTCAACATCTACTCCGTAAACGTTAGTTACACGGGTACGCAGTAAAATCTAACGATCCGTCTCGCTTTCCCTCTCCCTATCTCGGCGTCTCTCCATCTTTTTCTGAGCTAATCGCATTATCGACCGCGCGAAGTTCGCATATCGTTTTGCGTCAAACCGCATGACGAAGCCGATTGCATTTCTTGAATAGCGTGCGATGATATCCGACAGAAGTAGGGCATCCAATCTTCTAATAATGAAAATATGTTATCTGAGTATAAAGACTAAAAAAGACCGATCGCGGCTAAATAAGCGGCCAGACAACAATTAATTAATATCGAATCGAATAAATCGCGATTGGACGAAAAATGAAATGCAACAGATGTGTGTGTGCAGAATATCCCAGAACTATGTACTATCGTTGCAAAACCGTGAACACCGAGGCACAAAGAGCATTATCATATGTATGTTTACATTGTACATGCACTAGATAAACGCACGCACTCGTATTGATTCGCGCAGGCCGTAAGATCGCTGGACGCGCGCGAGTTAAGCGATAAAATCCTCTCTCGTAATAGATAATTCCTTAATAACATCTTGCGAGACAAATTTAGTTGCAATTCTTAATCAGGACAAATGTAACCGGCGCACGACGCGTAATTGTGTACAGCAATTGATACAAATTGATTCAACACTTATTAATTGTATGTTATTTTGCATTACGCTGATACATGATTATTCTTTAGAAACATAAAGGATTCGCGTTTCTTGCAGTATTCGGACGCGCATGTTCGCATCGATGACTTTTAGACGTCGCATTTTTCAAACGAAATTTATTTCGTCATACTTTTCTAAGAGTTTCAACATGTTAAACGTCTTAGTCACTGCAGCATTATACAAGCAGATGATGCATTATAATTTAAATCAAGATTTGCAAATAGAGTCCGAACAAAGTTCGTGTAAAATTACAATAATTAGCTGACGAACAAGATTTCGTTATCTCCCGAAGCATAGTTCGTTAAAACCCCTTCTTTCCCGATCGATTGCAGCACAAAAGCTATTTATATCCCCATACAATTTTTTTCTAATAAAAAGTATTGTTGCATGCACCAAATACGCCTATCGGATATTCTGTATAAATAAAAGCTAACATTTGTACGTGCATAGAAATTCTCTTCGATCGGACGTTCCTTTAGAGCCTAATTTGGACGATGCATTATTCACGACAGAATTTGAGGCAGAAATCTGCGCAAAATTTTATGTTTATTTCCGATATCGATTACTGTCACCAATGTGGGTTTTCTATGTTTATGTTCTCCAAATGCTGTGTTATAAAATTGCAAATAGATCTCAAATATCGTCTCGAATTAATAAATAATCTAAAGCGGACTTTATCAGAATTATCAAGAGGTGCGATAAAGATTCAGATTACGTACGATACGGAGGGAAATCACTGTCACTCGTGCGAGTAAATCACAGGAGTGATATTTCGCAACGCTGGCTGTTGACAGAATGAAGAACGGTGCCACGGCATTATTAATTATAATTATTTCGCGCAAATATGCGAATTAACGAAATGGGAAGAAGACAGGGATTGAAGCAGGGGGTGAGAAGGGAAGGAGATAAACTTGCCGAGAGTGAAAAAAGAGAGTTGTAAACGTATCGCTGTATTCGCGATGTTTTTGCCAATCGAGAAATAACGGCGCTACACCGGAAACGACTAACGAACGATGCACGAGAAATATTTTAGAAAGAATTCAGACGTCACGACGCTTCAAAACGACGCTTCCGACGTTTTGATCTAATGTTATCATCAATCCGGTTGATTTTGGCACACTTTTGACCGAAGAAGCGACACAAACAAACTCTATTATCGTGTTAATTTAAAGTGTAAATTTCAACTAAACGGTTACGTCGAATGTACGCCAGACGTTGCACAGCACATTATACACGATACTCTCTATTATCCGCGTTTAGTTTGTTTAACTTGAGTTCAGTTTGTCTTAACTGATTATGAGTTGAACTGACAATGAGCTGTCTACGAAAATAGAAAATAACGTATTTCAGTATGTTTTATGTAAGCCACATGTGCGATGATTAAATTAATTCGTTTAATTGTTATTAAATTAATTAAAAACTCGGCATTAAATTAATTCAATTAGAAATTACGTATTTGTACACAATAATAATTTTTTATGCCTCAAGTGAGTACAGTAGATTTTTTTACGCTATTCGAATAATAGAGAGACTATGTTAATGATACTGTATTATGCGCAAAGATATTTTTAAAGTCTGGTTACGTGTTATGCTTCATTAGCATATGATCAACTAAAAAAAATAAAATTCTTCAAAATAAATCGCCGTAAAACAACGTGTTCGTAATCAAAATAATTTGCCATGAGAAGTCCGAGAGATGACATAATAAAGCGTATCGAAATTAATCATTACAACGCTTAAAATTCCTAAAGGCAATTAGGTCTAAGAAAAGCATACAAATTAGTATATGACGCGTTTAGAGCAAAGAGAGTCTCACACACACACCAGACGAAATTATACACTTTATAGGTATTCGAAAACGAGAAGCAGTTTCGGACAAATCGCTCCAAGGTGACATGTTTTCGGAACACGTTTGGTGCGACGAGCGATTATTTACTTTGGAACTCGGCGCCGAGATAAATCGCTTCGCATGAATGAATTCATTAATCAGCTTCAGGCGATGCGCATTATTCACGACGCACTTAGAGCACAAGGTGCTTGAGGTCTCATGACAATACGCTAAATATTTCGAAACAGATCGCTTGAAAAAAGCGAGGGGAAAAAAATGAATTGTAGAATGAATGGCTTGAAGACGACGCACTTCGAAGAAGCATATCGCAGAGCGATTTACATCAGAACTCGACAGCGCGCCGAGAGAGACGAAGACGCCACGAAACGAGACGCGTGTCGGCACGCGGGAGGGTTGGGGGGGACGTAGCACCGCGTCGGCACAGAGAGGGGGGAGGGTATACGTCTGAGAGAGAATAGGTGGGGAAGAGCATCGTGCATCGACGAGCGGGACGGAGCGAGACGCCGGGCGCGAGAGAAACAGAGAGACGGCCGGCACACCAAGGGGCTGGAAGGGCAGGCAGGGCAACGGCGAGGAGAAGGAGCGGAGCTTTTCGGTTTTTAGCGACATACGAGCGTCGCCGTCTCAGTTCCCGCCTGACTCGCGGTCGTTACGAACATTGGGTTTACCGTGTTTTTTTTTTCACGTCACTACGAATCGAAACGAAAAACGATCTCAGAGAGGAGGTAGAGAAGTCGTTATTCAGGACTCAGAACGCCCTTCTCCCTCCATCGGACAGTAAGCAGTGATCCTCAGACAGGATCAGGACGGAGAGACATTGTTTCGTACGATTGCTCTTAAAGCTGATCGAGCGAAGTCGTCTTGTTGAGGATTCCGTCAAACTTGCACTGTCAGAGTGTCGAAATCGTGTCGATTCGTGTTATCGTGCGCGCAGTGAACATTTTGCGGGACGCGTTGTTTAATGTGCTAAACGAAGACTATATTTCCACAACGATCCGATTGATAATTGACGATAATTGATACAGAATAAATATAGATAATTAATAATCGTGAGTGAGACCATCCTTACGGCGGTGCTGATTGGCGATAAGAAGAACGCACGCGTTTTCGGTGACCTGCGTGTCGTGGTGAACCTTATTTCACGGTAAGAGGGGATCTTATACGCCACGTCGACCGTCGAAGCGAGGAAACGCGTGCTCGCGCGCGCCGGGACGCGATGAACCCTTATCGAAGCACATTGAGCTTTTCTTTCGAGGAAGTCTTATCTGAAATCGAGAGAGCCGTGTGGTTTCGCGAAGAATAATTGATTGAATCGAAATATGATATTTTTGTATTTTCAAGGCTACTTCAGACCAGATTTATCACATATGCAATTGAGACTCGAAATTTACGAGAATCTTGAATATTTAGAACATTTTTTATTTTTAAGAAATTTATCAGGAAGTCATGTGCGACTTGATGTATCTTGAATATTTAGAACATTTTTTATTTCTAAGAAATTTATCAGGAAGTCATGTGCGACTTGACATATGGAAATACGAATTTATCTTATTTTTTTCAAATAAATAAAAATGTTGAATATAACATACGTTGAACATACAAATGCTGAATATATACATTGTATTTATATCGTAAAAATGTATGTATAAATAAATGCAACTCGCCATTGTAACTTGTGATATTCGTCGCGTAATTTATGAATCTAAAGTATAATGAATATTTCATAGAGTCAAGTTTCCATACAATTGTTACAAATAATATTTAATAATGTTTAATCCTTGGAAAAATTTGTTTACTTCAAAATTTTTCGAAACATTTTATGCGAGATTTTAAAATTAGTACACGTTCAATGATCATAAGCTCCCAAAAGAATGCTTAAACGTTAAAGAAAATTGGAGAAACTATCTAAAAAATGCATAGAATTTATATCCACTAAGATTAGATAATAAAGAGATACTTATACAGTTTTTTCGAAAACTATATATACAGACGCGTGGTATCACCAAGTGTTTTTCACAAGTAAATCCTGTTCTGACATATAACGTTCTTCCAAACATGTATTTTTTTTTTCCTTTTCATCCCTCCTTTCTCAATCCTTCGCGTCGAAGAACGAGTCTCGAAACGAGAACAACGAACAGGTTAAAATACGTACACGCATTCTTATGCATTTTAAGCGGCAACGTTTTCACTAGCCGCGAACGGAATATGTAAGTGGAGTTTCTTTTTCATAAAAGCAGAAATAAATAATACAGTAATTCAAATAACTTTCCGATCTTGATAATTAGTGATTTAAAGATTAATCCGGTCAATTTACGACCTCTTCGTTTGATAATAATTTGTCAAATTGTTATCGCGAATTTATTTGCGATTGCGGCTGAAAATTTGTCGAGAAATCTAAAGCCGGAATGAGAAGTGAATTATAACACTTCATATATAGTTCTAGCTTTTCGACTAAATGTAACGCAGAGACAATTAACGGCAGTTGTCGCACTTTTCGAGTGCTCGTGCGCTATTTCGATTTCGGAACTGTAATGTAATCACGATGATAATATCGCGATTGCGAGAGTACAGCTTCTCCGGGTCTCGAAATGCCCGGAATAGCTTGAGGATAATTTTGGAACACCACCATCATGGATTCCTTATCCTTACCATACCGCACGCGGTCTAGATGGAACGCATCGACTCGAACATCCATGATTTATTGTACATGCGCAATTAATTATTTGCAGTAGCGATCATGAACCAATAAATACTCGATCACGCGAAAGAGATTTCTCTGTGTTTTACGAAGGATCCCAATTTTAATTCATTACCATCGTGATAATATTATTACACGTGATACGCAAATATATAAATTCTAAATAATAAATAATAGAGCTTGAAAATTCCGCCTTATGTTATCTTAATGTTATCTCTTTCTGAAAAATGCACGGTTCTTGCTGGAGAGCTACTAATATAATTAAAAAATATATAATCGTAATTCTTCCGGTTCTCTTTGTTATCGAACCTTCTTTATCTTGAAACATGTTTTAAAAATAGGTATTTAATAATACTGCCTAATTGTTTCCAAAGCATTTGGCAGCCATCCAAAGCTTACTGCCTCCCAAATGCCTTTACATCCTTCGCAGCTTTATCGATCCTCGGAAACATCCAGCATCCTTCGAACGAACCGTCAAGCCTCGGAGCTTTCAGACACACCCTGTATGTCGTATCGATCGCTCGTTTGCTTCCTCCGCTTCTTCCTAACACACGTGGGTACGCTCGCACCAGAGGTGGTCAACCTTCAGAGTTTGCCGGCTGCCGCTTTTTCTGTACATTCTTCAGTGCACACTCGAGTCGCTTTAATCATTTCTAAGTTCTACCTGAACCTGATCTGACTGGCACGTCGATTTTCATGTTAAACGCAGTAAACACGGAGTGAAACGAACACGTTTTCAGTTGAAGGCAGATAAGAACGCAAATACTTTTAATTTTTATTTACATGTCAAATTTTTCTATTAATCGATCATATTCATTTCTTTATCGAAAATATTACAACATTCTAAATCATTATATTGATTCAAGACAGAAGAAAAAAATAAATTAAGAATGTTCCGTTTTCTAACTGTCACCGAAAATAATAAAAATAATTCTTGATCCGAGAATAAGATAATATTTTTGAAATTAAAATAATTGTAGAAAATAAAACATTCTTGATTTATCTTTCTTTAACTCTTAATTAATATAATTTATAGTGCTGTAATATTTCAAATGAAAAAAGGATATGATTAATTCTGCTATCATTTTGTTGCATAAATATAAAAACTGTGTACTAAACATTGATAATATTGTAATAACACATGTTTACTGATCGTTGAAATTATATCTTAACCCTTTATTTTTGCGTATTAATTTTGTGTCTAATTATCGATTGATTTAAACTGCTTCGATAAGATTTGCGCGATAATTAAGTATATTAATGAAGAACTGAAGCGTGAAGGTCAACACGATTAAACATATGCTCTTCTCTCATAGCAATCAGATAAAAAAATCGCATTGCAAATATTATACAAATTCGAAGATATTTACTATCTAAATGCCTATTTTACGATTATACTCTGAATATTGTGCAAACGAGAAACAAAAATAAATACGTTTGAAATACGTCAGAAGGTCCACGAAAGTGGAGAAAAAAGACCACTGGGCAATCCCTGAGTGTTACACGCTCAGTACATCGCTCGACCACGTGAACGCGTCCAGATACTGATCTCGTTGACGCATTTTCTTCGTTTTGTTTACGCACTGATCATCATTGGCCGCTGCTACTATCCACGACGGCGCTACGACGTCGCGCGTATCTGTTACGCATCATAGGTACGCTCGCTTGCTTTACGTAATGCCGACAATGCGATATGCCAGTGCAAATCACTCCGTGATACCTCGATCTCCTCCCCCCCGACGTCCCACCCCGTCCACCGCAATCTTAGCCCCTAAATGCGCAGCTTTCTACGAGACCTCTATCTGTCTGACGATCGGACGTCATATACGATGAACCAATCAAACCGATCGCGAGGATGATAAATTTGAGTGGGAGAAATAGTTTTGTTTTGCATTCAAAAGTCAAGTTCAAGTGTGTTTTGTGTATGCCTTTAATAACTTCAATAGTTAATATAACTTTCTCGTTGTTGTGTCCTATTAAGTCGTAAAAACGAAATAATATGTATAAATTTATAAAAATAATTTTTCTGCTACTTTTATTGTAACAACTAAATAAATAATTGTAATAAACAAATGTAATTAACGTAAAATATATATAAAAATATAAGATTTATTTAAATTTTATATTCAAATGAGAGAGGGAGAAATGTTAAGTAATTGAGAGTTATCAACATGACGTTAATAATTTTTTTCTTTTTCGTCTTACAGATTACGATTATGAGTTCCGAGCCGTGGACCTTGCCTCCGAAGCAAGGTCTGTACGACCCTACCCTCGAACGAGAGGCTTGTGGCGTTGGTTTCATCGTTGCTATTGATGGAAAGAGATCGCATAAGGTGAGTCGATTTTAAGCTATATGTGTATAATTGAAAAGTAGCTCCGTGTCTCTCGAATACATATCTCGTTTGATCTTTGTAATCTAATCTAAATGCACATTCATATTGTATTACATTACATACCGAGAACATTCTTGAATAAATAATAACGACGAGATAAACAATGAAGCATAGAAAATAGTATACAAAGTAACAAGATTTTTCAGATTAGACAAATATTGGGAACTTTCAGATTATAAAAGTATCAAAAACTTGTAAAAAATCAGTAGTGAAGGATTGAACCGTGATAATTTAAAATTGAACGTAATTCGAGAGATTAGAAATGTTACTTGAAATATAAAGAATGTGAAGAAAAGATTAGATAGATCAAGAATGTAAATATTGATGGAATATATCTCTTTAAAAAAAATATAGAGTTTTATTTTAAAATAAACGATTCACTGATAATGAACAGATAATAATTCATGGTTCTCTTATTCGTCGCGTGGAGATAAGTAAGCTACTGTACCGGTTTACGTTCGTACGGATTATTTATAGCTCGTTATCTACGAATTTTCAGATTATTCTAGATGCTCAGATATTGTCGGCGCGAATGAATCATAGGGGGGCATGTGCCTGCGATAACGATACTGGTGACGGCGCCGGTGTGCTTTGTGCAATACCGCACGATTACTATGCCAATGAAATTCGGTAAGAGAATTCCCGGCGACAAGACTCTCTCACTGACGAAATCGAAACTAGTTCCTGAAACCTTTGTGCTTTTCGACTTATTTATAAGATTTAACCGCCTAAGCCAAGCGCTCGAAATCACATTTAGCGCTAACTGTCCGACTCCGAGATTAATTTGCGTAATGCGGAAAATTGCGAAAATCAGATAGTCGCTTCTTGCACAGATTGTTATTTCAAATTCGATTTATACGTCACCGCATTTTTTATTCAAAAATTTTCAGCTTTAAATATTTACTCGAAAGAAGATGCTTTATAAAAGTCAATTATGTAGATACCCACATAAATAATTTACAATACAAATCCAACCTTTCATCGACCCTCGATCACGCTGACTGGTCATTTTTTTAAACCCGCACAACTTTGTTCTTAAAACTTTTTTTATCACACATATCTGCCACTTCTTACATATTTCTATTTATGATCGTAGACTTAATCGCATAACTCCTTGGCACAGTTATACAGAATTCTTTCGTCACAGATTATTGTTTTGTCAGATCTCCGAGCCTATAGATCCGTAGTTTCCCCGATTCATTCATTCACGCATCCTTGATTTCTGCTTTCAACATAATCATAAAAACCATAGATCCTTGATTCTACAGAATTTCGATAAATCCAGGCGCAATTAATTAGCTAGGTTCGTTAAACTGTTTTCGTATTACAGCGAACAGCAGAATATCAAACTGCCCGAGTTCGGACGATACGCGACTGGTATCTTATTCCTGGACAGGAAGACCCACAAAATAGTGGAAGATGCGTTTGAAAAGCTAGCCGAGGA